GAACTGTTTAATTATCCGAAAGTTTTAAATAAAAATGTTTCAAAAAACAAGACAAAGTTTATCGGTTTAACACAAATCTGTCCAATTCAAGTACAGAGAATCATTAGCATTCTGGGAAAAATTGTAGTTGGCATAAGAATTTTGTTGTAAAGCTGGATTGAGATCGGCTTTAGTGACCTGAGTGGAAGTGGGCTCGAATACAAGGCGAGAGCTCTTTGTTTCAAAGCCGCAGTTCAACTTTTTCTTTTGCTTTTATTAGATTTGAATAGTTTAGATGTTCTTTATACGCGCGCACAATCTTGTACATTAAAAATTGGTTACCTAGATTGCGTTAAAATTGGTTACCTAAATGCTCCGCTAGTTCCGTTCGAGACTCCAACTAATGGCTGCTTCAACTTTGGTTTTTTGTCCTATCAGACGACAAATTGTGCGTCTTTGGCTTTTATTTCTTGTGCCCGGTGTAACATCAAATTATTTTCTCTCATTTCATCGATGAATAGCATTAATGTTGATTTCTTATTTATTGTTTTATGTTAAAAGAAAACATTAGCGTAACTCCTAAAGCCGAAAATAGTATTTGCGCGTACTCTAGCTGGAAGATAGGTTAGAACAAGCTGAAAACGTGCACCCGGGGATTTTCTGGGGTAGGAAAACCAAATGCAACCGAAATACTTACGTAAAATACCTACCGTAAAACTGTAATAGTACAGTCGGGTAGTCGCAAATGTTTCTTAGTATTTAATTTTTTGCAAAGCGCCCGTACTTTCAAAAAATGCGTCTTTGGTATCAAAAAATAGCCCTGAATTTCAGCTATTTTTTGATACCTGAGCGCGCATTGTAGCATAAACCAGTGTCGAGAAAAACTCGTTCAAAGCTAGACTACGCAACACTCCGCACCGTCATTATGGGAGTGGGGTACTATTACAGTATTTAAGGTACGCAAACACTAAATTTTATGTTGCTAAAGCATCCAAATCATTCATTGTTATTTAAAGTCATTTAAATCATTTGTAGTCGTTAAGAAGTCTTTTTTGAAAGTTTCTGTTTCAAAGTTGCTAAGGGTAAACTGTTTATGGTATCGATAATAACTTGTTTATTAATAACTACTAAAGCGTTTTCTCTTTTATGAGTTTCAATGATAAAAACATTATTATTTTCTTGGGATTTAATGTTCAATTCCTACTCTAGTAGTTGACCAAATTTGTGTTCTTCCGATAAACTTTGTCTTGTTTTTTGAAACATTTTCATTTAAGACTTTGGAATGATTAAACAGTTCGTTGACCCTTTAGCCCTATTAAATCTTGAAACTTGCAGCTTGAAACTTAAGCTGGAAACTTGCAGCTTAAAACTTAAATCTAGAAACTTGAAGCTTAAAACTTAAATCTTGAAACTTGCAGCTTGAAACTTAAAGCTTGAAACTCAAAAATTTCATTTAAAACCCATTTTCCTTGACTCAATTCAGTTAAAAGTCTATTTTGTGATTAAAAAACGGATTTGAACTTTTATTGAGAACTCAATCAGCTTTACAACAAAATTCTTATGCCAACTACAATTTTTCCCAGAATTCTAATGATTCTCTGTACTTGCATTTGCCAGCTTTGTGTTCTTCCGATAAACTATGTCTTATTTTTTGAAACATTTCCATCAAAGGCTTCGGAGTAATTTAACAGTTCGTTGACCCTTTAGCCCTATTGAATTTTGAAACTTACAGTCTTGAAATTTTTTCTTTTTTACGAAATTTTGCTTGATTTCTATAACTTCCTCCTTTTTCAAGGTTTTTTTTCATGTGAAACAAACTTGAAACTCAAAAATTTCATTCAAAACCCATTTTCCTTGATTTAATTTAGTTAAAAGTCTATTTTATGAAAAAAAAATCGGAGTTGAACTTTTATTCGAAAATTTTGAAACCCTTTTGAATGAATGAATGCCACGCAAAAGTGAAAAATGAAAATGAATTCGGAAAAAGAGAAATGTTGGAAATCCTGAAAAAAAGGAGGAAGTTATAGAAATCACGCAAAATTTCGTAAAAAAAAGATTGCAGAGCTTACAAACAGGTCAGCTGTAAACAGAGAAATTTAAATTGAAATGTTTTTTTGCTGAGCTTACGGGAATAGTCAAAATTTAGAGATTCAAGGTTTCAAAAGGCTTTTCTGTTTACCGTAATAGCAATTTGCATAGGGAAACAGTTGAAAACGAAGGTCTACTTGGGAAAATTGTTTGAAATTTCGAATGAAAGAAATTTCAAATGTGACTAAAGCTGCAATAAGCCAAACAACCTTGTAAAACTTGAAACTAAAACTTTTTTCTAAAGTTTTTTCAAAAAACATGGCTTATTTTTTGCTTTTGATAACTAAAACGTTAAAAAAACATTAAAAAAACATTTGAAAAACTGCTTTTTATAGAAATTGTTTATCTTTTACCTTTTTTTCAAGTTTATTTACATTATCCTGGAAAAAATGTAACATGAAATTGATAAAACGTTCTTGCTTCACTTTATAGA